GTAGGTTGCATGCTTCTCAACCCAATTAACGCTTTCTTTACGACGACCATCAAATCTGTGCAGGTCGTCATGCGTCTCAACCCAATTCACTGGACGACGACCATCTAAGTTTTTGGAGGAGGTCATGATCCCATGGACTCCGCGGAATAGGTTGGTGGAAGTGGAATTGCCTCAGCACTCTATCCCCAAATTGGATCTCAACAAAAGCAAAATTGATCAATGGTGTAATAGCACACTAATATTGAAACCCATCTAAAATATCGTGCGGTATCAACGCAAATAATTCTTCATTCATGTATGGTCTCCAATTAAACTGTAAAATTACAAAAACAATAAAATTTATTTAAATCAAATAATATAGTTAATTTAAATAATAATTAAAAAATACAAATTATGCATACCTCCTTTTGGCCTTAATGTCGATCTTCAACCTGAACTCTTTAATGTTGTTGTGCACCAACCTGTGCCTTCAATTTTATGCCTCCATCTGTATATCAATCAAAACAAAAATAGAGACATTTTGTTCAATAATTTAATCAAAATAAATATTTTTTAATTAATATTTTATTAAAATAGAGGATTCATATTACCTTCCGGCAAGTGGAAAGTCAACCGCAGTCCGACTAATCAGTGTCAAAAACGGAAGTCTATGCCAAGCCCATGATTGTAGCAGCAACAGACATCCACCGATTTCTGTATTATTATCATTCACGACTAATGACGCCTTGCACATCTCACGATACAAGAACGCCAATATCGCCGAACCCCAGCTATATTGCCTACAATTCTCAAAATTTGTTAAAAAAAGAAGATACGGAGTGTGAACATAACTACCGGATTTATCAGGCATCAAAATTCCCCCAATCAATTGTAATATATATGCTCGTGTTGCATATATAATTTCGTGCTCCGTACTATTTGATTGAAGTTGAAATTCATTCTTCAACCATGACAACCTCACCCGCCACCCTTTACACTCTGGTGGTACGGGCGCTTTCCCAAGAAACAAGTTGCAAAGTTGTTCCACCTTATTAAACTCATGTGACATTACCACCGGCATCCCATTAGTTTGGACCCCGAGTTGCATTGCCACATCCTCCAAAGTTATCGTGCATTCGCCACACGGCAAATGAAACGTGTGCGTTTCTGGTCTCCAACGTTCAATCACGCACTGATCAAACCTGGGACCAACTTGTAATCTCGCACAAATGTTATATACCAAAATCCAGCCTCTTGCAAATTTCTTCTATTAGTGGGTGTGGCTTGGGCACTTTATGTAGTCGAAGACGAGGACTCGCTGCTCGTCCTCCTACAATTAAATATTTCAAAAAATTATCACAATCATAAAATAATATTCAAATATTTATTAATTATAATTCATTAAACAAATATTTATTCACCATTATTCCCAAATGACTTGAAATATGTTCATTGTCAAGCCTCAACAGTGGAATTTGGTCAGCCATTGGAATGAATCTGTAAAAAAAATTAAACAACAATATTTAAAAAATCATTTAATATAAATTCAACAAACAAAATAACTTAACTATTTAACTAACACAAACTAAATTAAATAATTTTTTTTTAACTACTATTAACAAAACAAACTAATTAAATAATTATTTTTTTATATAATAACTATCAAACATATACTAAAACAAACTAATTTTTTAATTTTTATAACTATAACTTAAACTAAACAATCATAATTTATGTACCCTACTAACAAACTAATTAACTGCTTTTTGTTTACCCTAAACCCTAAACTAACAAATTAAACATTATAATAATAAACTAATTTAATATAAAAAAATTTACCTTATCTCCCTTTCTTCTTTTACTTTCCTTCTCCCTTTCTTTCCTTTCTCCCTTTCTTTCTTTCTTGGCTGCAATCTCTTCTCCCTTTCTTCTGCAATCTCTTCTCCTTTCTTTCTTTCTTTTATAACCGGCTGCCTCAATTATTTCACCAATAATTGTACAATTGCAGCTATGATATCATCAGCTGATTTCACGCAATGGTTCAATTATTGTACCAATAATTCACGGCTCAAATGGTTCACATGCATGCATTGGCTCAAATGGTTCACATGCATGCATTGGGAGCTGTAGGCATGCAGCGGGGAGCACGTGAAGGAAGGAATCTATGTGGCTGCATGTGCATGGATGATGGGAATGGCGCCGGGACTACATGGCGACCTACAAGGTCGCCTAGGCTGCATGGCGACCTCTCTATTCCTGCATGCTCCCCATTAGCTCGTATGGCTCGTATATGGCTCGTATGTCACCCTCGTATGGCTCGTATGTCACCCTCGTATGTCACCCCGTATGTCGCCTGGATTGCATGGCGTCCTACAAGCTCGCCTGGATTGCATGGCGTCCTATGGCGATCACTGTTGAATTCACCCCATTCCAACAATTAATCTGGGATGTGCACCATATCGTGGAAAAAAAAATTCAAGAACATTATCTCGTGAATTCACCCGATAGAAAAAAGCTCCCAAGTTGATGGAAAAAGACAGCTCTGATGATGTGTCCAGCGTGTATATATGTCATCCTCATCCATACCATGCCATGCCCTGCCCTTCATCTTCCCCATGCAAATATAAAATGCCTGCAATTATAACCTCCAAAAGGCCCCCCGCCCCACTCCCTTTAATCTTCTCCTACTTTCAAACCTTAAATCATATCCATCCCCAAAGCGATGAGAGTCCCGGTTTCTTCTCCACAAAGCAGCCATTGTCAAAGCCCTAAACCTAACAACAATAACACTGATACTACTACTACAACAACTCGGAACTTAAGTTTCCATCGGGTGAACAGTGTTCCAACCTCATGCTATGAGCCAACTTCGGTTCTCGATCTTCGTCGAAGCCCGAGTCTAGCGACCGAAAAGCCCATATCCAATCGGACTAATGTTTCAAATTGTATCGCGGTACCCGATTCTCCGCCTCATCACCATTAGGCGCCTCTTGAGTGGGACGAGCATGTGCTACGAAACATGGATTGGGATTCCATCATGAAAGACTTGGGATTAGATGACGAATTAGTACCGTCTATCAAAACTATTCCTCCTAGAGCTATTAGTCCTTCCTGCGAGAATCGTATCCAGAACCTAACCGAGTTTGCTTCCAACGAGATGACTCACCAGTTTAACAATCTTTACGAGTTTTATTCGGGTTTAAATCAAAACCCAGTTCATCAAAGTGATTTTAACGCTGGTACTATCACTAATAACTACCTTGATATATCTAATAGTTGTGGTTTTCATAATATTAGCAACTTCAACTTAGGATTTGATTTTATAGAAGATTTGGTAAGAGCTGCGGATTGTTTCGACACCCACGAATTGCAATTCGCGCAGGTGATATTCGCATGGCTCAGTCAGAGGCTGCAATCTCCGTCAGGGAAGCCGTTGCAGAGAGCCGCTTTTTATTTCAAAGAGGCCCTTCAATCTCTACTCAACGGGTCAACACGGTCTACCCATTTGTCTTCGTGGAATGAAATCGTTCAAACCATCAAAGCCTACAAGGACTTCTGTGGGATCAATCCTATCCCTATGTTCAGCCAGTTTAGCACCAATCAAGCGCTCCTTGAAGCCCTGGATGGATCAGGACCGTTGATCCACATAATTGATTTTGATATCGGATTGGGTGGCCAATACGCTTCTTTGATTAGAGAAATGACCGAGAGAAACGATCATTCTGGCAAGTTCATTCTCATAACTGCGGTGGTTTCCCAGGAATATGCGATTGAGACAAGGCTTATTAAAGATAGCCTTGTTCAGTTCGCTCAAGACCTTAAGGTTCCAGATTGTGTTTCTTCTCCTTCGGACCTTCGAAATGTTGTCGTTTAAAGCTTTTAGGCTCATCGACGGAGAGAAAACGGCGGTCCTTTTGTCTCCGTCTATATTCCGATGTCTCAGCATAAACGTGACGGCGTTCTTGAGTGATCTTCGAAGGGTTAACCCGAGCATCGTCGTGTTTGTAGATAGTGAGGTGTGGATGGTGCCTGGGACGACATCGTTCAGAAAGAATTTCTTCAACGGTTTGGAGTTCTACGCCGTGATGTTCGAGTCATTGGACGCGGCCTTGGCGAACGGGGAATGGGCCAGGAAGATAGATACGTTGTTGTTGCGGACCAGGATATTGGTGGCAGTGAATACGGCGGCGACGAGTACGGCTCCCCCGTGGAGGGAGAGGTTTCGAATGGCGGGGATGAGGACGGTGCATTTGAGTCAGTTGGCGGAGTTTCAGGCAGAGTGGCTGTTAGGGAAGGTGTAGGTCCGGGGATTCCACGTGGCAAAAGGGCAGGCAGAGTTGGTGCTTTGCTGGTACGAGAGCGCCTTGGTTGCCACGTCGGCTTGGAGGTGCTAAGTAAATAAAATAAATTAGCCTAGCTGGATTTAGATGTTAGTATTTTGCATGGCCTTTTTTAAATTGGGGGTAATTAAAGTAAAATTAATTATGGCAAGTGAAAGAGCTGGGAGAATGGAGAGTGCCATTAGGTTGCCTCCCCAGTTTCTTTCTTATCCAGTTATATTAATATAAGCTGATGCAACAAAGGGGTAAACCCCAATAATGAAATGAAATTCCATTCATTTTTGTTTTGCTCATCTTTCAACACTTGACAGATGCAATCATTGTCAAATAATGAGGTGATATTGCTCAAGAATATGAATCAAAGTTGATACTTGCATATACTTTATTATCCAACATTTTTAAAATTTAACGAGGCATGGAAACCCCCATCCAAATCTTTAAAATTCAGATACGATTTGGTTATTTAAAGAAAGCAAAAACATCAAACCATGTAATTCTAAATAAAAGTGGGAAATTTTCTGAATCAATCCCTAATTATTCTTTTGCTGCGAATAAACTACAAACAATACAAGTGTTTGAAATCTGGTTAAAACTGTTTTGTGTTTGTAAAAACAGACATTACAGTTACAAAGGGTTAAGAGGTATAGATTAGTAACTAAACCCCACGAACTACTGCATAGGGCTCTTGTAGGTTTCCTATAAATTCTTCCCTTCATCGCCTTGCTCGAGATTAGTTACCGCATCAGGTCCGCATATCCGCGTCAGCTCATCCTGTTATACAAGCAACAAAAACATATTTTATCGATAACACACTCGACAACTTGCAACAAGGAAGAAGTAATATCAGCGCATTATCATTTCACTGTTGAATAATACGAAGAGCAAAGCTGTTGTATACCTTAATACAACTGTTTTCTGATGTAAGCTTCTCACATTCATCAGACAGCTTCTTTTGTTCCTCTCTCAGATTATGGTTTTCATTTGCCAAGCTCTCCACTCTGACCTGTAGCTCCTCGCACTCGGCCTACAGAAATATACAAGCTATAGATGTTAGGCTTCAACTACGTTGATTGACAAACAGATATAACCAGTGTACCTGCTTGCGTAATCTTGATCGTCTAGCAGACTCGCTATTAGATTGCTTCCTCTTCTGTCTTTTCAGCTCACGTTCATCCTGGAAGAACCCACAGTGCCGATTTAGTTAATTAAAAGAATAAAGGGGGCAAAGAAAGTTGGGGACCTTAAAGGACTAAGGCAAATTTTAACTTGGACAAAATATTGGATCGTTAATGGAGCAAATGATAATGAACATGTAAGATAAGAAAAGAAAAATAACTGCGTAAAGCTCGCGTACTTGAATCCATTGCTCGGGCATCACAACTCCATTAAGAACTGTGGCAACAGCACCAGAAGAGTTAGATCTCATTTTCGCAGCTCCTGTGGCTGCAGGGGATCCACTCCATAGATCCATCCCGATATTCGGGTTGGTTGCCGGCATTGCGACTATGGGTTTCCCAGGAACTAAAGCCCCAGCATTGTTACTCTGTGCGTTGGCTGTAACAAGAGTGATTTGTAAGTAGAAAACTATTGCAGTCTATAAAATCAACCCCAAATTTATTTACCAGAAAATACACTTTGCAACTGTTTTTATCTTTTTGCTTTTCAGTTTTCATACACAAAGTCCCACACTTTCTCACTCATATTCACCGGGAAGTAAGTTTGTGTGTCAGAAACCATAAAGATAAACCATTTTTCAAAGTAATCTTACACTAGTTTTAGAGATTTTCCATACAAATAAAAGCAGAAACTCGATAAGGAAGCATAAAATACCATCTGCAAGCATCTGGTTGAAGCTTCCCTTTTTACCGGCAGGAGGTTCCTAAAGGGGAAAAGAGGCACATATTCATTAGAAAGGACAATTCATCGCTTTAATATGCTAGCCACTAGCCAGTAAACAATGTTGATCAGAGAAACTGAATTTCCAAAGTATTCAGTATCCTTGATGACAATCAATAATGATAACTATGCACATACTTGTTGATCATTGTCGTCACTTCTATCTGATGTGCCCTCAGTGCCACTTTCAGCGCTGTTAAGAAAACGGTTAGAATTAGAAAAGGCATGGCAGAAAAATTGGAGAAACTTTTTAACCAAAACCCAATGTTGAGAAAGAAAGTGGAAATCAAAAGTCTAGTGCACCTTTGAGAGCCACCGTCATTTCCAGAGCCAGAAGCCGCCTTTGCATTTTCTCCAGCCTTGCTTTCTGAAGTTCCCTTCAACGTTTTGGCCGCACTTCGATCCTTCCCATTGGCACTCTTCCCTTCATGATCAGTATTATTCTGTGCAACGCTTGGAGCCTACAGAAAAAATTCCCAAGAGGAAGGGCATTTAATTTATAACTGTGAATCAAAAGCAATACAAAGAGCAAAACAAACATAAAGAAAGAAAGAAGAAAAAAATATTACTGGGGCCATAGTAGGATGTGCATACACTCCCCCAGGAGGATACATGGCTGGGAATGGAACCGGAGTTCCATACGGAGGCATTAAAGGATGCTGAAAGATCATCAAAAGCAAAGGAAAGTAAGAACATTGATCAATTATTGAGAGAAAAAAACACATTATTGTATAATGGAGATTTCAAAAGCGGTATCACCTGGCCTCCCCACATATATGGATGCGGAGTTGGCGAAGCAACAGTTGAGGCAAAGAAGGGAGGTGGAGCAGCTCCAGCACCATAATAAGCCTGAAAAAGAAGTTGAGTTTCAAGATCGAGTAATCACTAAATGAATTTTAAGGATTTCATAAACATGATAAACCACATGATTTATGTTCTAAAGTATAAAAACCTGCACCGGGCATGACCAATCAGGATATGAGGGAGTTGTGGGCATTTCCTATCATCCAAACGCAGAAATGTCAGTAAAACTTATCAATGTGTTAGTGATGAGAAGGTAAGAATGAAATGGGCAATTTTTTTGTCCTTTCCAGTAGGTGGAATGGAGGCAACAATGACAGACCTGTGTTGAGGCAGTTGATTTGGAAGAAGGCTTGGAAGGGGTGTTCTCCTCTTCCGTTCCCATAATTACTTTTGTAAGCCTCTTAGCTTCAGAAAAATTAGAATGAAATTCGTAAATCCTCAACGAACTTTAAGAAGCGCCCTGGAAGCTGATAACAAGTAACCCTGTATGTAAGAAATAAGAGATAAAAAGAAAATTATCAACCAATAGTTAGAAAAGTAACTACAGCTCACAATTCATGATATGCAGAAAGTCAGAAACAAATAAAATGTGAGCACTTGAGAATATTCATGAGGTTTTATGTTTTATGAACCAAAACATGATTCATAGAAAGATAAATCTATGCAAATTTCAGTATCAGAAAATTATCATGAAACTTTTTCAAGATAGAAAGATAATAGAGAAACAAAGCCATCCCAAGAATATTGTTATTGTATACACTAAACATCCAATAACAGCATCAGAATACCTTAATAACCATCAAAGTAGGTAAATTTAGAAATAAACTCCTCCCATTTCAAGTTCTTCACTTGTTCTGACCGCACTACTGTTGAATTAAGGATTCGAAGATAAGCTGGGTTATTCTGATCTTCCATGAAACCAACTTAAAATATAAAATAACTATCCATGTTCAAAAAAGTGACGGCATCAAGATTTAATTGATAGTAATATGAACACCAAAGCAGTGATAGAACATCTGACTACGATCCTTATGTAATCCAACAACCTTATAATAGAAAGTAATTATTCAGTTCGGCTAATTACCTTCCAAAAACAAAACACAATCTTCCCTCTAAATTTTTTGCCATAAAACATTCAACTTACTAAATAATAGACGGGGAAACCCCACAAGAAAATTGGCAGTGTCCGATTTAGATAGACCAAAGCTAAAGCCAGTCAACATTAAACCCTCTTATTCTTCACTATAATATATAATAAAAAAAAACTAAGGTTGAACAAATATAACAACTTTTCAGCAAAGATCAAGAGCTAATCTTAGTCTGCAAGTCTAAACCCACAGAGATGCTCAATATCCATAACACAAGCAAAGCTCAAATAAGTAACCAAAATTAAAAAAAAAAATAGAGTAAAAGATTAGCTCTCAATGGTTTTAAATTTAAAATAATATATATAAAAAGTAAAACTGTAAAAGTAAAAATAAGAAGGAAGAGGGAAGACCTGTTTTCCTGTGGTTGAAGAAGGAAGTGAGATGGAAGTCTAACTGGAACACTTACAAACAAACGATTAAGAGAGAGAAAGATAGATAAATATACGTGTTTTTTTTTTCTTTTTTCTTCCCCTTCCCCTTCCCCTTCCCCTTCCCCTTCAGTTATCAGACGGCTGAGAGTTAATGAGGGAACACATAAAAGCCGTACGGAAATGTGAAGTAAGGCGAGAAGGTTGTTATTGAAGTACTCGAATAAAGGGATGAAAATTCGTTGTGAAAATGATGATTGGCGAGTGATAGATCGATCGAATGATAGGTCGATTCGGATATAGATGAAAAAATTTTAATCCATTATCTACAGCATCCATCCACCTATTAATATATTCATCTATATATATATATATATATATTAAAAAAATAAACAGATGATTGTAAATATTTTTATTCTCTTAATTCTGACTTTTATCACATTAAAAATATGTCTAATTTTTTAATATTGATTTATCCCTATTGATACTAGGATGGAGATGACTTTTGAGAAGTGATAGTTTGTTGATGAAGATTTGAAGATTATATTTAGTGTACAAGACTATACATGACGCATCTATTCACTTGAAAAATGTATCACAAATATAGTGCACAAGACTATACATGACGCATCTATTCACTTGAAAAATGTATCACAAATATAGTGCACAAGACTATATAAACTGTGTTTCATTTTGTTTTTGTTTGAATTTGATGAAAATTTATTGTTCATGTTTTGGTTTCTATGAATGTTTGAGTATCAATGTTTGATTTCTATAAATATTAGGAGAATTTGAGGTTATTATGTAAAAATAGGTTTTATTCATAGTATCATCAATTTCTTATCCGCTCAACCCGCGGATGATAGATGGAGCGGATATGGATGAAATTTTTTATGGGTGATGAATGGTATGGATAAAGATTTGGATCACAGGTGATGGAGCGGATGAAGCTCCAGTCGACCTATCTCCTATCTATTGCCAGCCCTACTGTTGTCTTAAAAAGTGAGAGGAGGATAATAATCCGGTGTGGTCGGGTGCGTTGTTGGAGCGGAAATAGTGAATTCAGGGAAGGGGAGAGAGGGGTTAGGGTTTCGCAGGTGACACGTACGAAGGAAAGGGAAGACAGCTGGGATGTGTTGGAGTGGATTAGGTTTTATGACACAGCATCCAACTGGATGATTGATTCATCATTAAATTAAAAGGCACAAAAAAACTCTCTTGTTTCAAACGACACCGTTTCTTCCGGTCTTCTTTTTTGGGGTTTCGATCCTTTTTGTCCTTTACTCTGCCCGCTTTTGGCTTTGGGCTTGTGTGGCTTCCACGTCAATTAAATATAATCCGTTCTGTTTTTTTTTCATGTGTAATTGAACCCTTAATATGGGCTTACTATACCCAAATATCAATTATTTAAAAATATTTTTTAATTTTGATATTCATTTTTGATTACTTGTTGATAAAGTTTTGAAAAAAAAAAAGAAATTGATGCATATGTGATAAAGATTATTTTTGTTAAGGTGGCCAAACATTTTTTTATAAAACTGAGGTGATTACAAAATAATATATATCCTAAAAATTTTAAATCATTTGATAATAAACGTGTTCAAATACCTATGTTTACATACGTTAGTGTTCGAACTTAAAACTCTTAAGAATAACAATCAATTGAAATAACTTGGTTCGTACATGAAATGACAAATTTTTAAAAGGACACTTCATGCAGGATGTATTTTTCATCTATGTGACGAGAGTATTAGCACATATTATACGAAAACGAAAGTAAAAGAAAAAGAGATCAGAATTCAAATTGACTTCATGACTTCAATTTAATCCTGATTTAGTTATTTAGAAGGTTCCTAACAACGTCCATCATATCATTCGCAACTAAACTCGTATGCATGTAAATTATTTTGTATTATTTTCATTTATCGTCATTAGAAGTGCTATTAACTGTCTTTGTAGCCTTGCTTTAGAACAAATTTTTTGAAGGTATAAATTTTTAGGTGTGATGGGATGTTTTAATCTTCCTCATACATAATTTATTCTCGAACTCGGTTATGATTTTAATAAAGATGCAAATTAAATTTAAAGGTATTTTGGTCATATTCAGTTATGATCGATGATTTAAGTGTAATAGGATGTTTATATTAGAGAAGAGTTTTTTTTTCTTTTCAAATAATTTTAGGATTTTTATTTTCTTTAATTGATTTGAGTATTTTTTATATGAGTTTAAAAATATTAATGAGTTTAAGGTTAAAACTTATTAAGCATTAATATTTCGAACGGATATGGAGAACATAAACAAACAAATTATCGAACGTTCATGAATGTAAATGAACGAACGAGCCTTTTGTTCATGTTCGTTCATTTAATTAAACGAACTTCTCGCCCAACGATTAACGAACGGTTCACTAAACGTTCGGTTCGTTTACAAGCCTAGTGCAATAGGTTGCTGGAACCTAATCAATTATTTTGGGTTGAGTTATACAAACAACAACAGTCATCTTTTTTATGCTTCATTATTGTAAATAGTACATATAAGGAATCCTTTGGTTTTATCTTTTTTATAAGTATTAAGATGTTGAAGAGCTTTGAGAATTTGGTGTAAACAAGATTAATTATCTTGTTAATACTAAAAGGTTGAAGGAATTCATGATAATTAATTAGTTAAGACAAAAATAATATTATTGGGAAATTGTTAGACTTAGGCCAGTTTGGTGCAGCTTTTGAAAAGTGAATTTTAAAAGTGTTGTAGAAACAAACTTTTAAAAGTGTTATACAAAAATACAATTTAAAATTTAATTGTTTGAGATTGTTCTTACAAAGTAAGTTTGAAAAAGATAAGATGTATATTATAGATATTATCCTGTAAATTAAAAATATATCATTTAAATTATATTTACACTTATTAATACTATGATATATAAAATATATCATCTTAAACTATAATAAAATATAAAAAATATTTTAAGATAATTCATTAGTAATATTTATATATATAAATATTTTATTAATATATATATATATAATATAAATAATTTTTAACACATGAACATAAAATAAATACTTGTTTTGACAAAAAGAATATTATAAAAGTATTAGTAATTAAAATAAATTATTTTTAAGAATATTAATGTTAAATTATTAAAATAAAATATAAATAAATAATTGCGTGTTGTTTACGTATTAGTAAGGGTAAAATTATAATTTGCTTCCAAACACAATGTTGAAACTGAAAAAGCTAAGAGTCCTATCCAGGGTCGGTTCAATGAGTTTTAATGCCATGTGTGAGATAATAATTTTATGCCCCTATATTTGTAACGTATAATAGACCATCCAACTGCCATTAATTTTTTTGGATTTTCGAAGGGATAATTGATTAAACACCGTCTGGCGTCTACACTTCCAAGGGAGAATTAATTTTTTTGGATCTTCGTCGCCTACCCTAAGCCTTCCATCGACCGATTAGGTGTTTGGGCTAATTTTTTTGGGTCAAATATATATATATATATATATATATATATATATATATATATACACTATAAGCACTAGAAAACTGATGACCTCTCAAACATGTTATCCTAAGCTAAGGCCCATCTGACATATGTATTGGGCCAAACGTAGTCCTATCTTTTACGATTGGTTTGAAACTACTATTTTTACCATTTTGTTTTACATATTTTACTTATTTGACATTAATCTTACAAAAACGAACTTTTTACCTAAAATTACTTTTAGAAAGACACGTAAAACGGTATCTTATAATTTATCGACTAATTCACTCAACCATTGAACGCAATTCTTTGCCCCTTAGTCGTCCCCCTTTATACACCTCCACCAATAATTTATCGCCACGTGTATTAAAAAACTAAGTTAACAGAACAACAAGCCGTTAACTCTTTCTTTTTCA